TTAACCCCAGTGCTCTTCCTGCCATGGCAGGGGGTCGGACTAGATGATCTGCTCAGGTCCCTTCCGACCCTAGAAACTATGAAACTATGAAACTATATATGAAATATCATCAAGCAGTTACAACCCATACTGGAAGAAGAATATACCTTAAAAGACAATTTTCCTTCGTCTCCTCTTTCCGGCTTTCAAACAGGCCTTTGTCAAACTCACCCCCAGAAGCAAACCTGCAGATGGTCAGCAAGCACCAAATGGAAGCAGGCCTTGCCAGAAAAACAATGTAAAACTTGAAAATGTATCTCCACAGCAATTGGGATCAACACCACCCATAGCAAAAACATCAGGATCGAGGCACCCAACACTCGCCTCTCCCAGCACGTGACATACCTCATCAAGTGTACCAGATGCTCTTATGGAAATTATGCCAGTGAAACCAAAGTACAGAAAAATGAAACGCCCACTCACCAGCGGCAGAACACTTTAAAGAAAATAACCACTCCAACTCTGACCAGAGTCCTCATCGTCAAAGGAAACCTACACAACACCTTCAAAGGAGAGACCTGGGAACAAAGTCACAGCTTTACTAGTCATCAAAGAACATAAACTTGGCATAAACATCAGTTTTATGGACCATTATAACTTCTCTCTCTGCTACCTACTCATCATATCTACTGGTGATAACTGCCCACTTCTCTGTTGTGTGGGCCAGTTAATTAACATAAGTGCAAGCCAGAACAGTTGTTCTCATTTCTGTTTAGCTTGGACTGTGACTGCTTTCTTAGACCTAATGAGGGTGCTTGAAACCTGAAATTTTCTCTGCCCCAAATACATAAGTCAGTCCAATAAAAGATATTACTTTCCCTCACAAAACTTGCTGCTCCACTTTGGTCAGAGATGTTTTTTTTTTTTTTATAGCAGCCTTCACCTCCCTGCAGGGAGGCTGCAAAGGAGATGGGGTTGGGCTGTTCTCAGTGGGGGCAGATGGCAGGACAAGGAGCAATGGGCTCAGGCTGCAGCAAGGGAAGTTGAGGTTGGATATTAGGAAAACTTTCTCACTAGGAGGGTGGTGAAGCACTGGAATGGGTTACCCAGAGACGTGGTGCACTCTCCATCCTTGGAGGTTTTAAAGAGTGGCTAGACAAGGCCTTGGCTGGGATGATCTAGTTGGGGCTGGTCCTGCTTTGAGCAGGGGATTGGACTAGATGTGACCTCCTGACATCCCTTCTAATCCTCGTTGTCTATGATTCTATATTTCTTGTTCCACTCATAAAAATCTTCCATATATTAATGATATCTCATGTTTTTGGCAATAACCAGAGATTTATGGGCTATTTTACAGCCACTTTGCACAGATGGAAAGGGACCTAATGATATCTGTGACCATTTCAGTGCTAAAGTCTCAAGCATAGTGCTATGAGCAATGACACACGGTTGGGGCATCCTCATAAAGCCCAGAACTGCTCATCACAATGTGTCCTTGGGCAATCAGTGTCATCCGCCAGATTCATTCATTCTAAAAGTCTGGCAAAATTTGCAGTGAGCAGTTCTTACCATGACTTATGTTCACTAAGAACCAACCATTTTTTGCTCAACCCAGAGCAACACAGACTGCCTCCTCTGAAGAGCTTACAAGCTAAAAAGACAACACAGACCCCAAAACAGAAGGGCATGACAATGCCATTTCTTGATGTGCATTTAGGTAGGAGAGGATCTGCTAAATGGAAAGGAGAGGAAGGAGAGTGATGGGGCAAAGGAAGGGGGATAGAGAGGTAGTTGTTGAGTGACGCTGGAGTGAAGAATTTGAGAGGGAGGAGGAGGAAGGCTGGAGTAAATGATCAGTTAGCACAGGGCAGAAAACATTCTGTAGAACTGCAGATGTCTCCACTAAGTCCCTGCTCTGGCAGTTTCTGCAGTTGCTCTAGTTTGCTGGAGCCTCCAGCTGATTCATCCCTGAAGTGTCTCCCCGTGTGGCAGGGAAGGACAGTCCTAGTTCCCCTACACTTCTGAGGGTCTCCCCTGCATAGTCCTAGGTTGGGGGCACAGTGTGGTGTGGCCCTGGCTGGTGCCAGAGTATTTCTCCACACAGTAATGTAGTTTCTGTCCTCATCTGTATGACGTCACACTAAGTGTCCCATGGAGAACAGACTGGTGTCATTCACTGAACTCAGCTACGTGAGATGACTCTTTTCTTAGACCAGTGGTTCTCAGTCTTCTTAAATTCAAGGCACCTCTCGTTAGGTTTGAGGCACCCCTTGTTAGACTCAAGGCATTGCTCAGCAAATGCCAGTTCTTCATTTTCGCTTATTTTTTGACTACAGAAAAATAATGGAGCAATTCTTCTGTTACAAATAACATAGAAAGACCAAGATAGGTCAGGGTGTCAAATGAATTCCTGTTTGAAATCTCCGGATTTATCTTGTGCACCCAAACAGTGCAAACTTTGTGCAGTACCCAATGGCACCCTTGAAAAGATCTCAAGGTACCCCAGGGTGCCACAGGACTCTGCTTGAGAATCACTGTCTTAAACTATACCTGAGGCTAGACTGAGTCTGCTGGACTCTGCTGATGGATCATTGAGACTCAGCACGGGCCCACTGCCTGCTATGATTTGCTCTGAGCACATAGTTGTGTATTGAGTCTTTTCATCAACACGCTTTCTGACACGGACAGCTTCACAATTATGTGTGTGGACTTGACCGGGACACCGTCAGAATATCTGGACTCCTACTGCACCCGCACAGCAAGTTGATTCTGCCCATGCTGATATTTCTACAGAGATTTAGATTCAGGGAGATCTGTCCAGTTTAGGAAGTAAGGTTGCGGGACAGTAAGGATATAGGGCCTAATGCTGCCTCATTTAAGCTGGTAAAACTTTCCTCATTTACTAGTAGGCTTGGAGTCTGCCCTGTACTCCTCAAATCCCATGGTACAGATTTTGGTATAAATTTCTTCTGATAACTATCTGTTTCCTCCTAGCCTCACACCCAGGAAGGAAGGTTCTGTAAAAGACCTGGAGTCTTTTTCCATATCAAGAAGCCAACTGGTGAGTGCAAACAAGGATCTGGACATGAAGGAGGGAAAGGAACAGGACGCAGCCAGTATTGAAACTCACCGCTCAGAGATGGCGCCCAGAGAGGATTCCAACCGACCGAGGTAGCTGCTCTTTTTGAATGGGGCAGGTTCTCCCTTAAAGGGCATGACTACCATAGGACTCCATCAGTGCTGTCATCTGACCCTGTTAGTGTTGTTGGGGGGTTAGATATTACTGGCCACATCACGCTTCTTCAGTTTGGATGTCTGTGCACGTGCAATCAGGATACCATCTCTGATGCCATGCCCCTAACGAGGTTGTTATTCCCAGAAAGAGACTGCGGTCGTCAGTTCTTAGTAGCAAAAACTCAGCCAGGATTATTGTCTACAAACAAGCCTAGACATGCTAGCATCTGTGGCTTACGTGGTACACGGTGGCTAGCTGGGTCTTTGCAGATATGGTACAAGCATGAACATAACCATCAAACCCAGCCCAAAGTATTAAGGGTTCCCAAGCCCCCTTTTTATACACTGATCAAAACAATTTTGTGTTTACAGCATACTCATCCTAGTTTTCACCAAGTACTAAAACACAGTTAGGTGACATCATTTACATACTGCTTCTCACCACTTAATACAACCTTCTCACCAGGTACGAACACCTGTGGTCGGGTCACTCTGAACTTTGTTTTGATGTTCTGTGCTGGTCTCAGCAAGTCACGCTTTATCTGTTGGCCTTAGATTCTCCTCCAAAAGTAACAAGCTACTTTCCCAGCACTCCTGTACAAAGCACATGTGGTATGCCTAATTCTGTATTCAGTTTGTGCTGTTAGCAGGGCCTCCTTATAATTTGTACATGCACTGACCGGTGGTTGTATTAATCATTACTCTAGCAAGGGTTACACCTACATGGGCAGTGTATGTCTGAGCATAGGTTGTATTTGGGCAAAAAGCCATATGTATTTAACATGATTCCCTGCTACAGAGTGGATCCAAAGATTCAGACCTGCTGGATCAGGAGTAATTCTGCATCTGAGGAAGTTACCTGGTTGTTGTGTCTGTGTAGACACACGTATGCCCAAAAGTGTTCTGGTGACCTGCTACCACTTGCTCATCCTGCTTTGCTACTTCAGCTAGCTGCTTTCTTACCTCTGTGGTGTCCACTGGTCTGAGGGCACAGTGAGTACCTGCAGTTTCCTCGTTTAAACATGGGATGCAGACAGAGTCTGCCTCTTGGGGCTTGCATGCTCTAGAGTCAACACCTGCATATTTTACCTGCTACCTTTGTGCCAGGTCTGCTCATCATTCTTCCAGGCAGGCCAGGGCTGAGATCCTGGGCCCTCTCACCCTCTGAGAAGAGGGGAAGGCGTGGGAAGTCCCCACGCCCAGGCACAGAAACCAGAACATTTCTGAAGGAATGAAGTTGGCCAAAGCTAAAATAGCTAGGTTTATTTAGCCCAGAGAATGAGGGTAATTGGATAACAGTCTTCAAATACCTGAAGGGCGATTATAGAGAAGATGGAGACAGGCTTTTCTCTGTGGCTGTAGGGGACGGGAGTAGGAGCAATGGTCTCAAAAGGCAGTGAGGGAAATTTAGGCTGGAGATTAGGAAGAACTTTCTGACTATGAGGGTGGTCAGGACAGGCTGCCCAGAGAGGCTGTGGATTCTCCATGTTTGGAACCTTGCAGAAGCTTCTTAGACGGACACTTGGCTGGGATGGTGCAGTCAGGGATGATCCTGCCTTGAGCAGGGGCTGGACTAGATGACCCTGTGAGGTCTCTTCCAGCCCTACTCTCCTCTCTGATCCTACAATCCTGTACAAGGTGACAAATGGGATGCTGTGCAGTGGGCATTAAGTCACAGGACTTGAGGCTAGCCTACGTGCAGGACAAAGCTGGAAGAGTTGGACAGATTTTGGAACAAGACACCAGCCTTGAACTGCTGCATCTGCATAATGCCAGACCCTAGCAACAGAGCAGAGGATGCGCTACAGCAGGACCGACTCTTCCTTGCAAGACGGTGTGATTGACAGTCAGGAGCGGTTTGCCTCTGAAACCTCACACACCTGAGTCCTCATTGCCCATTGCTGGCCAACCTCCTGATTCTGAGAGCACTTGAGCTGCTGAGGATAGCGGTAAGCATGATTGTGTTTTTCTTTATTGTAAGAGAGTGTAACTGTGGACTGAGATACACAATTGGCATTTTGTTCCCTGTGCTGGCTGCTACCATCTTGAGCAGACGTGGGCAAGGACCTTCCCTGAATTCTGCTCTCCACCTGTTCAAAATGGCAGTTGTGGTTAGTGAAAATGCCTCTTCTTTCTCCTGATACCCTCTCCTGTCCTTTTGATCAAGCCAGACCTGTCTAGCTATACCCACTCCTCCAACCCTACTGCAGCCTGCTGCTTTGCTGAAGGCCTCTTGCATGTGAACGTTCCCACCCCTGCCCACTATCCTGGGTGCTCAACTGCTTATCACACCAGATTCAAGAAATAATGGTCCCCCACTTGCCAAAGGCTTTATTGAGAGCCAAGCCTTGTATGCTTCTCTTACAAAGTATAGGCTGCATTCTCACTATGCAGGGAATGACTGCAGAAAATCAGTGCCATTATGTCATGTTTAGTCTCATTATTAACATCTTATGAGGACTTTTTTCTCATTCAAAGTTTGAAAGGCTTTGCTATATCAACATGAAGCTAAGAAAGGCTTTTTTAATATCAACAAAAATCCTAGAAAGTCTTTTCTGTATCCACCTAAGTCCTAGAAAGACTTTTGTTACACTAACATAAATCTGATGGGCTTTGTTAACAGTAAAAGCTTAATCAGTGTGTTAAATCTACTATGACTCATATAGCAAGGATTATATTCAGTGAGCTGATGTCTCACTTGGTGTAATTCTGTTATCTCGGGAGACAGACAGTTGCCTACTACTACAGTGGTAATATCTATAATACAAGCAGTCAGGACATTGCAAAGCACAAGGCACAAGGACTGTTTTCCCTGTATGGCCAAAATGTGTTGCAAAACAGAGTCCAAGTTGCAGCAAACTTTGCAGGTATCCGGAAGGGATAGGAAATGGACTGTGGAGATAGAAAGTGCTCCATAGCGCTATAACACTGCCAGACAGGGTTGCCTTTTCCCTGGTCTCCCAGTAGCTGGTTGCCTCCTTCCAGCCGTGCAGACTGTCATGAATTCCATAGATTTCATAGACGTTAGGGCTGGAAGGGACCTCGGAAGATCATCGAGTCCAGCCCCCTACCCGAAGGGCAGGAAGTCAGCTGGGGTCATAGGATCTCAGCAAGATAAGCATCCAATTTACTCTTGAAGGTGTTCAATGTAGG